CAAGATCTTGGGCTGCCTACAGAGCAGAAAGGACCAGAAGGAGGCCTCTGGAGAGGGAGAGGGAGGACTGGCAGCAGAGGCTGGGGAGCAGTGGGGGAACCCGGGGGCCACCGGCGATGTTGGCTGTAGTCATTAGAATTTTCCTTTCCATTTAAATTAGTCAAAGCAGGTTTCTGTGGCTCGACAGGAACTTGATACCTGGGCTGTGAGCCTTTGAGGAGTCACATGATCCCCCTTCCCCCCCTCCACTCCTACTTTAACAGCAGCCCCCGCACCACCGGATGCCTACTTGATGTGGGCTCGGGAGTGGGTTCCCCCGAGTTCGCTCACCCCGGGTGCCCTGCCCAACCCATCCTGGAGTCCAGGATCCCAAGGACACAGCCAGACACAGCCTCTGCCCGGCCTCAGGTCGCATGGCTCCATCCTTCTAGCCCAGGTGGACCCTGGGCTAGCTGTCTGCAGTGCTCTCTCTCAATAGATCTCTGCAGCCAGCGGGCCGGCCCGGCCAGGCGCCCCCACCCACCCTCTCAGGAGAGGCAGAGGTAGGGGCTGGGGGACCCCATTCCTTCCGTGGGTTTGCCTATTTGCTTGTTTGGGGAACAGTTCCCCGGGAATGGGTGGCTGCACAGATGGCCCGAGAGGAAACTGGAGAAGTAATTCAGAGTTTCACGCACTCCATCTGTCTGTGTGTACCATACCCATCATGCCCAGCTTCCCCACGCAGGCTTTCCCAACACACCCCGGGCCTCCACCGCCCACAGACACATGCCTTGCAACGCCCCCGTGCCCCCTGGGAGCCCAGTTTTCCCAGCTGGACAGCGATCAGTCCCCCTCCTCCCACTGCCCCCCCCCCCCGAGCTGCAGGTTCTGTGTCATCTATGACCCAGGCCAGATGGTACCTGCCGACCTCGGCGCCACGATCGGGCACGCCTCACACAGGCGTTGGAGGTGAGGGCTCCGTGGCAGGAACCCAGCATGGGTCTCCATCCTGCAGCCTCGGGCCCTACCCCTCCTCCCAGTGCCCTCCGTGCCCTGCCCACGGGAGCCCTCAGCCTTCCCCCCCCCGGGGGACCCCTCCCTCCGTGTTCTCACTGAAGAGGTGCAAGCCCACGGGAGCCTCGCAGCACCTGGCAGGCTGTGGGAGCGTAATAAACGTTAATCACCATCATTGCACACCTCGAAAGTGCGCTAAAATATCCGCGGAGAGAGGGGGAGGAAGCATCTGCAGCCGTCCCCCAACGGGAGGAGGGAGGCAGCTGCCATCGAGGCCTGGCAGGAGGTGGCCTTAGGGGACCTCCAAGTCCTCTTGAAAACCCAGTGCCAACCCTGGGGCTTGAACTCAGGGCCTGGGTACTGTCATTTAGTGCTTTTTTTTTTTGCTCAATGCTGGTGCTCTGCCATTTGAACCACGGCTCTACTTCCGGCTTTGGGGTGGTAAATTGGAGATGAGAGTCTCAGGCTGACTTCCAAGTGAGATCCTCAGATCTCAAGTCTCCTGAGTAGCTGGGGTTACAGGTGTGAGTCACCAGCGAAAGGTCTGCAGGAGGCCATGTGGCCTTGATCTACTCTTCTCTCTTCCATGTTGGTTTCGGTTCTTTCTGCACCAGGTTCAGCGCCGCTACCCTTTTGGTGCTAAGTGCTCTTTGCACAGCATCTCGTTTTGTCCGCTGCAGCTCAGAGTGGTTCGGTGACTGACTGGACATCACACAGGTGATAGCAAAGTCCAGGTAGCCAGACAGTCCCTTCACCTGGCAGCGAGCAGCCCAGCTGCCCTAGGGGAGAGGACTCGCAGGGCTTGGGGCCTCTGGGGCCCCAAGCTGGGTCTTAGGACACCATCGGGGAGTTGGTGGGCTTGGTGAGAGGCTGGGAGGCCAAGGGGACACTGTGAGAAAAGGCCCAGCCTGACAGGCCCAGCCGAGGCCCCTGGAAGGGGCGGCCGAGCCCAGCTGCGGGGCTCCGCGGCCAGCTGCCCAGATGTGGAGAGCCTGGGCGGCTGCCATCCTGTTGACAGGAATGCCATCTGCCGCCTCCACTGACAGGCAGCGTCACGCCGTTCTCCACTCATTCATTCATTCACCCACGAACTCATTCTCTCCCGCATTCATTCATTCAGTCGGTCATTCGCTCATTTAATCATTCCTTTACGCACTTATTCTCACGCTCTCATTCATTCATTCCCTAAGCTGCTCATTTGTTCACAATTCACTCATTTGTTCAGTCGGTCATTCACTCTCACGCATTCATTCACTCCGTTATTTGTTCACTCATTCACTAACTCTTTTATTCATTCACTCCGTTGCTCCTTCCTCATTCTTTTCTTTCGTTACTCACTCTCATTCACTCATTCATTCTTGCATGAACTGATTTACTCCTTTGCGTATTCATTCCATTCATTCATTCATTCATTCATTCATGTAGTATTTAGCAAGCCCTTCCAAACAAGCCAGGAGCTTTGGACTTTGGACTTTCAGCTGTCAGACAGACGTAGTTCCTGCCCATGTTGGGCCTCACTAGAAGGAGTGGCATGTTGAGGGCTCCTTAGCTAGACCTCAAGACTGCCCTGTGCGCACACTTCCCTTCCGGGTCCTGCTGGCCATGCCAGCCTGTCCTCTTGGGACCTCCCCCAGCCGCCTGCCCTTGCGGTCCAGGCGTGCTCTCCCTGCCCCTCCGACAGGGGCCTGCTGCGGAGCCCAACGAAGGGGTGTGGCTTGAGCCTCACGCAGCCCCTCCCAGACTTCTGCCCTCCCCAGGGGCCCCACGCATGTCCATGGCTGTGTGACCTGCGACAGGCCATGTGTACCAGGCCAGGGTGCCAAAACCCACCCAGGCTTGTACCCAGCCCCTCCCAGCCCCGCCTCCTGCCATCCCATGTCCTCATGTAGCCCCCCCTTGGACCAGGGGCAAGGCGGGGGAGGAGTCATTGCGGGGTTGTTCCACTGGTAGATCCAGGACACTGACTGGGGGAGGAGGGAAGAAGGGAGAGGAGAGAGAAAGAGAAAGTAATCGGGCTCCAGTGTCCCTGTCACTGACACCACATCCTCCTCCGGCCAGGTAGAAGTAGGGTGAGTGGGAAACACGAGCCATGGGGTGGAAAAGAACTCTTGGGCCGGGTGCCAGTGGCTCACACCTGTCATCCTAGCTACTCAGGAAGTTGCAATCTGAGAACTGCAGTTCAAAGCCAAGCTAGGCAGCAAAGTCAGGGAGACTCATCTCCAATAAACTACTCAGAAACTTGGAAGAGGGCTGGGAAGGTGGCTCAGTGTTAGAGTGCTTGCCTCTCATGCATGAGGCCCTGGGTTCGATACCACAGTGGTGCTGTGGCTCAAGTGGTAAGGCGCTAAGCCTAGAGCTAAAGAGCTGAGGACAGCGCCCAAGCCCAGAGTTCAGGCCCCATGACCGACAGAAAGAAAGAAAGAGAGAGACAAAGAGAGGAAGGGAAGGAGGGAGGAAGGAAGGAAAGGAGGAAAGAAAGAAAAGGAAGGAAGGAAGGAACCTGGAAAAGGAGCTATGGCTCCAAGTGGTAGAGCACTAGTCTTGAGCAAAAGAGCTGAGGGACAGTGCGCAGGCCCTGAGTTCAAGCCCCCTGACTGACAAAAAAAAAAAAAAAGCACTCTCTTGTGGGAAGGAGTCACAGAGGAGGGACGTGTGTGCGCGCGTGTGTGCGCGTGTGTGTGCGTGTGTGTGTGCGCGCGTGTGTGCGTGTGTGTGCGCGTGCGTGTGTGTGTGTGTGTGTGTGTGTGCTGGTAGGAGTCTGTGTCCTTTGCATTCACAGTGGTGTGTCCTGTGTGTGGTCTGATTCCCCCGGGACTCCCTGCCCCCACCCCACGCTGCGGCCAGGGCAGGGTTGGGGTAGAGCTCCATCTCTGGGACGGGGTCTCGTCTCTCATTTGGGGGGGTCATGGAGCAGCAGGTCCCCACCCACAGCCTGTTGGCTGTCCCTGGGCCCCCAGCTTGGCTGGGTTTCTAGCCGAGAGACTCTGTGTCCTCAGCTCCACCTCCTCGAATGCGGGACCAGCTGGAGCCACCCACAGCCCACATGGAGCCCCACCCAGGCTGTGGACAGGCCCTGGGCCCGGCAGGCGGGACTGCACTGGGTACGGCAGGGACCAGCAGGGCCTCATCTAGATCCTCGCCCCTCTGGGTCCTGGCTGGTGCTGGCGGGGACGTGCTACACAGTTGGTGGGCTGTGTACTGCACAAATGCACCTGGCTGTGTGGCAAAGGATGCTGAGAACCAGTCCAGGTTGCAGGCCGGGGCTTTCTGATGCCAGGCTGCAGCACTCTTCCCACTGATGTTTGCCTGTGAGGGCTTGTGCTAAGGTGCAGCATCCACCGGTGTGTTCTCATTCTCACAAAGAGGCTGCCTAGCACTGACCTCTGCAATCAGCCTCCCTCTCCCATGTTGGATGTCCAGCTCTCCAACCATCATGGACTCACCTCCATCTTTCTGGAAGCTGGTCTCTGGTCTCTGCTCTCCTCCACTTAAACCCTTCCTCCTCAACCCATCTAGCATAGTCACAGAAGGCACACACGTCCTTGCCCTAACCCCATCTCCATCTTATAGACCAAGTAATGAAGGCCTCGGGTAGTGAAGGGCAGGAGCCTTGTCCTACAGCCACAGTGATTCCTTCTCCAGTGAGTCCCAGATTCAACCCCACCCTAGCCTCTCTACCCCAGCACCCAGGGCCCAGATCACCCCCTTTTTCCGCAGTCCCCTGACAATGGCCGGCACAGTCCTCTGATGCTATGCTCTTTATTTCCTTAGGAAAGTAGCTGAGGGGCTCTCCGTGGGAGCTGGAGGGAAGGCTGGGCTCCGCTCCTGTGGCTGGGAGGCAGTGCAGCCTGGGAAGAGGGACGGAAGCAAGGGCAAAGCGGTTCTGCCAACCGTCAAAGACAGTCCCTCCGAGAGTCCACCCCCGCTTGCAAGTTAGGGACCCCACACCAGGGCTGCTGCTCCAGGGAGCAGCCTGGGAGGGGGTTCAGGTCCCTTACCTGGGGGGGGGCCTCAGCCTCAGCTGGAGGCCAGGTGGTAGGTGCCATGAGCTGGATTTCGGGAAAAGGGGTCAGCTGAGGTCATAGTTCTGCAGAGGAGAGAGAAGATGGGAGGGGAGGAAGGAGGGAGGGAGGGAGAGGGAACAGCAGGGGTCTGGACCCTCTCTTCTGCCAGCTCCTCCTTGACAGCCAGAGAATAGTCCAAGCCTGAGCCAAAGCAGCCAAGCCACAAAACATTGGTGCCTGCCAACTTGGGCCGCGTGTCACGTGAGCACAGGTTTTGAAGAGTTGAGTAGAAAGGAATCAGGAGAGAGGCAGATCCACTGTCCATTCATCTTTTTTTTTTTTTTTTTTTTTGAACTCTGGGCCTGGGCGCTGTCCCTCAGCTCTTCAGCTCAAGGCGAGCGCTCTACCACTTGAGCTACAGCGCCACTTCCGGTTTTCTAGTGGTTTATTGGAGATAGGAGTCTCACGGTCTCTCCTGCCTGGGCTGGCTTTGAACCGCGATCCTCAAATCTCAGCCTCCTGAGTAGCTAGGATTACAGGTGTGAGCCACCAGCGCCCGGCTGTCCATTCATCTTTGTACCCCTCCCACACTGCCCCTGTGCAGAAGGGAGCTGGGGGGGGGGGAGTAGGAAGGGGGATGGGGGCCCAGAGGGAGGAATCACTGGACAGACAAGAGAACAGAGGCAGAAAAGCCAACCAAGAGGCTTGGCATGTGTGGCTTACGCCTGTAATGCCGGCTAGTCAGGAGGCTGAGATCTGAGGATCAAAGTTCAAAGCCAGCCTGGACAGCAAAGTCTGCAAGACTCTTTATCTCCAATTTACCACTAAAAACAGTCAGAAGTAGAGCTGTGGCTCAAGTGACAGAGTGCTATTCTTGAGCAAAACAAATGCCTCAGGGTCAGCACTGAGGCCCTGAGTTCAAGCCCCAGGACCAACACACACACACACACACCACACAAGGCCAACCAGAAGAAATGGCCTCGCAGAGGTGCAGACAGATGGAGGCAGGAGAAGGACCTGGAGCCGGCTGAGGGGCGTGAGAAGGGAGAGAACCGTGGGTCTGCTAACCTTGCCATGTTGGGGGGGTTCGGGCGCCGTTGGCACTCTGTAGGGCTTGGGGCCCCCTCCATGTTGAGGGCATAGCCTCCTGCCATCTGGGGCTGGACGCCGCCTCGAGTCCAGCCTTCCCAGTCTCGGCCTCTGGGGATGTTGTCCATGTACCTGGAACAGAGGAGGGGCGGACCAGCCCTGTGCTGGTCTTGCCTGGTCTTCCTCCGGGGCACCCCAAGCCCTTGTCCACTAGGGGGCGTGCTCGCGCTGGCGGCCCTGCCTGAGCCCTTCCTCCAAGTCCAGAGCCCACCCGCCATGGACTACACTTAGTATCTTAGGATCAAGGAGGCCCCTGGGACTTCATATCATCCCAGAGACTGATGGGGGTAGGGGTGAGCGCCCACTCTCTCACCCGGTGGCTGGGATGATTCTGAATGGTGTGTCCTACACTGTTTTGTACAGTTTCTATTGTGGGGACAGCTGGCCTCCTAACACCCCCACTTCCTCCCTCCTCCATTTCCTGGCTGCCTCCCCTCCACCCTCCATATTTCCTCTGCAAGCCCCCAAGAAGAACCTGACTTGAATGTTTGGTTCAGGGGAACAACAGACTAGAGTTCAACGTGGGTCATCTCCCCAAAGCTATGTGCAGCTTCTCCATCCCTGCCTCGTTCTTCCAGTCTGTGAAATGGGTCTCAATGGCGGACTCTCACCCTTGGTTATAGGTGGTCAGGTACTGCTGATCCCTGTTGGGGTCACAGGAGCTCCGGAAGTAGGTGGGGTTGTTAAGACTGAACCCCGAGAGCTCCTATGCCAGGGGAAGACAGGGAGATCATCAGGTGGGGCGGGGCAGGGGGGGGGCGGGGGGGGGAGGGCCGGGCCGGGCCGGGCTGGGCAGGCCTCACCTTTCTTCCTACAGTGTCTCTGCCAAGCATGGCCACGTTCGACTGTTGTACTCGTTGGGGTGCCTGGTACTGCCGGGAGCCCAGGCTTCTGGATTCTAGACTTGGTGGGGGTACCTGGAGGGGTCAGAGCCACAAGATGGAACCACCCCAGGCAGGGAGGGGCAGGAGTCCTGGAATCCTAGCTACTCCCGAGGATGAATTCTGAGGATCACAGTTCAAAGCCAGCCTGGGTAGGAAAGTCCATAAAACCCTTAACTTCAATGAGTTAAACTACAAGTGGCAGTGTGGCTCAAGTGGTAGAGCACCAACCTTGAGCAGAAAAAGCCAATCAAGAGCCGGAGGCCCTGAATTCAAGCCCTGTACTGGCAAATACACAAGAAAAGAATGGAGGCCAAGCTTGGCTCTGGTAGCTCCTGCCTGTAATCCTAGCTACTCGGGAGGCTGAGGTCTGAAGATTGTGGTTCAACTCCAGCCCCGCAGGAAAGTCTGTGAGAACTCTGATCTCCAATTGACCACCAGAAACCAGAAGTAAAACGGTGACACAAAGTGCTAGAGTGCTAGCCTTGAGCAAAAGAGCTCAGGGACAGTGCCCAAGACCTGAGTTCAAATCCTACAACTGAAGAGTGGAGGCCAGGCAGATGCACACCACCTTCTTGCTGAGTATAATTGCTGTTTTTTGTTGTTGTTGCTGTTTTTATTTTTTGGTCATTCATGGGTCTTGAACTCTGGGCCTGGGTGCTGTCCCTCAGCTCTTTAGCTCAAGGCCTCGAGCGCTCTACCATTTGAGCCATAGCGCCACTTCCGGTTTTCTGGTGGTTAATTGGAGATCAGAGTCTTACAGACTTTCCTGCCCGGGATGGCTTTGAACCTCGATCCTCCGAGCTCAGCCTCCTAAGTGTAATTGGCTGTTTCTGAGCACATTCCTTCCCCTCCTCCTGGGAGGCCCGGGTCCCCACGGGTCCAGCTATCCAAGTCCTCTCGCCTGAGACCCCATCACTCACTCTGGGGTTCAGGATCCTCTCATTCATTCGGCTGTAGCCCGTCTCCCGCTCAGAGCCTCTGGCCAACACGGGGAGGTGGTCACTTCCCTGAGAGAAGCAAAGCAATCATGCCTTCACCTCTGGGTGTGGCCACCCTCAGGCCCCGCCCGTCCTCCCTCTTCCCCAGGAGCCCCCCTCCTGCACCCCAGGGCAGCTGCCTACCTGTGGGTGAGCCATTGGCATGAAGTCGGACTTGGTGACACTCTGGCTTGGGAGGAGGACCTGAAAAAGGGGTCCACAAGGGAGCCTCAGCTTGGCGCCTGTTCCCAGATTCCCTCTCTGCTTGGAGATGCCCCTCACTGTGCTGAGCTCACAGGAGGGCCGGGGCTCAGGGCTGGGCCTCGCTGGGTGACTGAGGAAAGGAAGAAGCTGGGGGAGGAGAAAGGCCAATCCCAGGGCCGTGGCTGGGAGCACCCTCATCTCCCCGCACCTCAAGACTCTCCTCTCTGTGCTGGGGGAAGTGCACCAAAGCAGTGGTTTTCTTTTTCTTTTCTTTCTTTTTTTTTTTTTTTGGTCAGTCGTGGGGCTTGAACTCTGGGCCTGGGCACTGTCCCTGTGCTCTTCAGCTCAAGACAAGCGCTCTACCACTTGAGCTACAGCGCCACTTCTGGTTTTCTAGTGGTTTATTGGAGATAAGAGTCACGGACTTTCCTGCCCAGGTTGGCTTTGAACCGCGATCCTCAGATCTCAGTCTCCTAAGTAGCTAGGATTACAAGCGTGAGCCACCAGCGCCCGGCCTCAAAGCAGTGTTTTCCACTAAGCTCTTTCATCTTGTGTTTGAACATGGGGCACTGTGTGTGTGTGTGTGTGTGTGTGTGCGCGCACGCGCGCACACCAGTACTGGGGATTGAACTCAGGGCCTCCTGATCTCCCCTTAGCTTTTTTACTCAAGGCTAGCCCTCGACTACTTGATCCATAACTTTACTTCTGGCTTTCTTCTGGTTATAATTGGAGCTAAGAGTCTCACAGACTTTTCTGCCTGTGCTGACTTTGGTTGGGGATCCTTAGATCTCAACCTCCTAAATAGCTAGGATTACAGGTGTGAGCCACCAGTGCCTGTCTTCAATGTGGGGCTTTGAATAAAGCTTGCAATCTGTAGACCAGAGGGCTTCAGAGACATTGAAAGTCTAGCTAGGGCCCCAGGAACTTACAGGGTCTCCAGGAGGAGCCTGGGACGGTGGCTGGAAGATGATAGGATTCTCCTTGGAATCTTTGGTGAAGCCAGTGTCCTCCTTGGCGCCAATGGATTTTTTGTGCAAGAACTCTGTAAAAGACAGATCTCCTGTGCTGCCCAGGACAACAGAGGCTAGGACACAGCCGGCCAGGATCCGTGCAGCTCAGTGGATGTTGGTCATCAGGAAGGAGACTCCAGAACAGAGGGGGGCAGACAGGCTGGGAGCAGCTCTGCTCAGCCATGGCTCTGGGACACAGCGGGTCCTGGGCATACGGGCTGCTCCACCCACGGGGACCCATGGAGGCGGCCATTGGGCAGGGTGGCCTGAGCTCACAGGTGGGCTTACCTGCCTGGTGGGGAGGATCTTTGAGGTACTTGGCGTTGTACTCTGTAGTCATGTATCGGGGCCCCTAGAACACAAAAAGAGGGAGGCTAAGCGGGGACAGAAGGGTGTCCATGGGGGCTACCTTAATGCTGTTTGGGAAATAATCCGATCATAAATCCCTCGCTCTTGAGTTTCTTGGTGCCCCAGTCCCCCTCCAAGTTCTCCCTGGGCGAGTCGGCAAGGGCTGTCATGTAGCATCGGACTATGGAGCCAGACTCGGGCCTGCCTCCCAGCCCCCAGCCTCCGGCTTCCGCTCACATGGCGCATGTTCTCCAGCTCCAGGGAGCCCTTGTCGAGGTGCTGGTGGAGCAGAGGCACCTGCTTGGGCTCCAGCCCTGTGATGGTCTGGGGCCCGTGATCCTGCGTGTCGAAATGAACCTTCCTGATCTGGAGGAGGAAGTACCAATGGCCCTCTACACACACCTCCTCACTCTCCCTTTGCCCTTCACTAGTGACCGCATGAGGGTAACACTGGTGGGTCCCATGATGCTCTGGGGCAGGATGGTGCGGCGTTTCCTCCTCTTCCTCCTCCCCCTCCCCCACGCCTTCTGCAGCGCCTTGGCCCCTGCCACTGGCAGTGCCTAGAACTCTCTTCTCTCAAATGGCTGCAGGTAGAGGATGCTACCTTCCTTCAAGGCTTTATCCCGATAGTAAGAGGTTTCCCGGTTCTCATTCCTATCCCTACTTCTCCCCTGCTCCCATCTCCTCCAACTGTGAAAGATGTTCCAAATACATTGATTGGATGAATTTGAATGGATGGATGGATGGATGGATGAATGGACAGAGGTGTGTCCTGGAGACCATGGTGATGATAAGAATAAATGATGGTAATAATGAGAGAAACGAAGAAGATGGAGCTGGGCGCCAGTGGCTCCTGCCTGTAATCCTAGCTACTCAGGAGGCTGAGATCTGAGGATTGCGGTTCAAAGACAGCCTGGAGAAAAAAAGTGTGTGAGACTCTTATCTCCAAAGAGCCACCAAAAAGCTGTAAGTGGAGCTGCGGCTCAAAATGGCAGAGCACTAGACTTAAGCAGCTCAGGGACAGTGTCCAGGCCTTGAGTTCAAGTCCCAGGACACACACACACTCTCTGCCTCTCCATCTCTCTATCTTTATTCCACCAAGAAGATGGATGGGGGGATCGTGACAATGGGGGTGACAAAGAGCTTGGATGTGGGATGGGTTGCTGGAGACTGGGAAGAGTCAGGTTGGGGGTGGTGACGGGTATGGAGGGACCTGGAGAGAGCAGGGAAGGGGGGGGCAGAGCTGGAGCAGGGG